CCTTGGGTCATGCCAAGGGCCTGCTGCACAGGTGATTCAGTGCAGACAGGGCTAACATTTCCGCTGTGTGAGCTAACGTGTAACATAAACGGTCTCCTCCATTCACATCTAAATCTCAGCCCATTACACCTCAGCTTGTCCCATGATCTGGACTCCTCTCTGAACCAGTAGCATTTGCCCCAGACAACTAATTATTCAGACCGAGGATGAGGCAGGGCAACCTATTGCCCTGCCTTCACCAATCTCTCTTAATGTCAGAATAAAGTGGCTTAGTTATAGAAAGATGTTGACCCTTCTCCAGTATAATGTCCAGCTTACCCTTGAACAGTGCAAAGGCTGGGGCTCCCCACTCTGCCAAGGTGAAAATCTGCTTGTAACTTAGACTCGGCTCTCTGTGCCTGAGATGACTCTGTATCCACCATTCTCCACCTGCGCTTTCAACCAACCATGGATAGTATTTACTGTGAAAAAAGTCCACATATATGTGGACTTATGTGGTTCAAACCTGCATTATTTAGGGGTCAATTCTCATGCAGTTTGACCTGAAAACAATTCGTAGTTTTTTGGAAACTAGATAAAACGATTTTGAATTTCACATGGAAAAAATGATTGTCAAAGAAATAGCTGATGACTTTTTTTTAAAAAATGAGTAAAGAAAGAAGACTACCTCTCCTAGAAATAGAAATTTATATGTGAATTTATATATATGGTTTCCCAGATGGTTCGGTGGTAAAGGACCTGACTGCCAATTCAGGAGACACAAGAAATGCAGGTTTGATCCCTTGGTTGGGAAAATCCCCTGGAATAGGAAATGGCATGCCACTCCAGTATTCTTGCCTGGAGAAGCCCATGGACGGAGGAGTCTGGCAGGCTACAGTCCACGGGGTCGCAAAGAGATGGACACAACTGAGGGACTGAGTACACAGCACATGCACATACATATACATATATTAATATTCTACATTAATAACATAGATACAAGATTAATATTCTTGCTGCATAAAGAACCCATGCCAGTTGATGACAATTCTTCAGTGTCTTCTGACACTACTCTGAAGAGGAACCACAAGTCACCAACATTTATTTCAAAACCATGATTAGATTCTGTCACAAAAGATTAACTTAAAATATGATGGCCATCTGACAACTGGCAAAAAAAAAAAAAAGATTTTAAATGTCACTATCTAATTGGGATGAGAGGGAAGTGAGATTGAGGCCCTTGTACACTTGTGACTCAACAATTTGGCAGTACAATCAAAACATGGATGCACCTTAACCCGGTATTGCCACCTCTGGCAATCTGTCATAAGTCAGCAGCCTGAGTGACCGATTGTTCTTGCCCTGTTTGTCATCCCTCATTCCAGATTTCATTTTTTTTCCTGATAGCTGCCTTGCCTGCTAGGCTGAAAGCGTGCTGGGAAGGGATGTCTGTTTTCTTCACAGCAGGACTTGGCATAGAATAGGTACCTAGTGTGAGTTCAGAGTGAAATTCAGCCACAGTAAAAAAGGGAAAAGCTTGATTGTCCAACAATGAGAATGGGTAAATAAATTTTCAGAAAGCATACAAGGGGAACCATTAAAACGATGTGCATAAAGTTTCTAATAGAATGGCAAATTGTTCACAGTTTGATAATAAGGGAAAAAAAGAATACGAAATTAATATACAGTATGATTTCAACATGTAAACACTCAGCAAGAAAAAATCTAAATGTATCATTTATTTTAAGATATACCATTATTATACTGTTATTTTCATATACCACTGAGAATAAAGAAATGCCCACGATGCTGAGTCTAATATGATATTGTCTACATGGCTTTGACAAATAAACCTCCCATGTGGAGAAGCCTGGGCAAGGGAGCTTGGTAGTCTCAACTTTGTCATTGGGTGCAGAGAAGAAAAAAAAAAAATTTCACCTAAGAATTATAAGGTAGGGCTTGAATTAGCTTGCATTTTGAATTCACACTACCAGCGTGGTCCAAACCTCCAGCAGAGAATTTAACTCAGAGCAATTTAACTCAGAGCATCAACTCAGGCCGATGTTGCCTCAGATGGCTGCAAAAACAGACACACATCTCCCCTGTGAGACTTAGACCTCAGCAGGGCTGGCAGCATTTATAAGCCACCATAGTAATCCTAACAAGTGAAAAATTTTGCACCCTACAATTGATGAGATAGACTAAACAAAATCTTAACGGGGGCCAACTCAGTGGTAAGATGATAGAGCAAAAATACTTTAATATATCTTATAGACATTGTATTTTTATATATTATAGATACATAATATAGATATGTTTTATGTAATGTGTTTTACATAATGTAGACGTATTGGTATTGGGAAAAGTAAAATAATTTCATTTAAAATTTGAGATATGTGGGATTCTAGGGGAACTCATTAAAAAATTTAACATTGGGACTTCCCTGGTGGTCTAGTGACTAAGACTCCATGTTTCCACTGCAGAGGGTGTGGCTTCAGTCCCTGGTTAGGGAATGAAGATTTTGTACGCTGTGTGGCTGAGTGCCAAAGAATTGATGCTTTCAAACTGTGGTGCTAGAGAAGACTCTTAAGTGTCCCTTGGACAGCAGGAGATCAAACCAGTCAATCCTAAAGGAAGTTAACCCTGAATATTCACTGGAAGGACTGATGCTGAAGCTGAAGCTCCAGTACTTGGCTACCTGATGTGGGAAGTCAACTTATTAGAGAAGACCCTGATGTTGGGAAAGATTAAGGGCGAAAGGAGAAGGGGATGACAGAAGATGAGATGGGTGAATGGCATCATCGACTCAATGGACATGAGCTTGAGCAAACTCCAGGAGATAGTGAAGGACAAGGAAGCCTGCTGTAATCCATGGAGTCATAAAGAGTTGGACATGACTTAGAGGCTGAACAATGACAACGATGCTACGTGGCGTCACCAGAAAATAAAATAAATCTAACATTATCCTCAGGTCTGTGAATGTGACAGATCTTTATTTCTTCTTGTCTTTAACACTAGTTTCTCAGCAGTTCTATTCCAATAGCTAAGTTCAATTAGTTCCCTTCCTATCATCTTGTGAAATTCAGTAGACACAGAAAAGATAAATCTGATGGTCAGGTACAGAGCCTCTTTCATACTGTGAATGTATTAAGCAGGGTGTCATCAGCATCATTAAGATTTTTGAGCTCTATGTGCAAGATATTAGGTTAAGCCTGGTGGGAGGGGCAAGTTGTACAGAGGCTTAAGTCTCTATTTTCATTCATTTACTTAGTTGACAAATATTTGTTGAGCACCCATTATGCAGGGCTTCCCTGGTGGCTCAGTGGTAAAGAACCAATGCAGGAGATGCAGGTTGGATCCCTGGGTGGGGAAGATCCCCTGGAGAAGGAAATGGCAACCCACTCCAGTATTCTTGCCTGGGAAATCCCATGGACAGAGGAGCCTGGCAGACTACAGCCCATGGGGTCGCAAAAAGTCAGACGTGACTGAGCACTCACAGGTCTTAAGAAGGACATGATGGCTGGTGAGCTAGACCTCCTGCTTAAATGAAGATTGGAAAAGCTGTTAGATTTAGGGTGTGAACATTTTGGTCTTCTGTTTATACAGAAAATCAGTTGGGATGGAGATTATGAGTTTATTTCCTAGTATATATACACAACTTGAGGGATTAAAACTAGGGGATTCTGGGTGGGGTGAGTCCACACAAAATAACAGAATAAGGAAGTCCCTCCGGGGGAGAAAAGAAAGTCAGACTAAAACTGATGGCTTTGGGAATGGATTAAAGATATTCTATGAACCCCCATTTTCTATTTAGAAGTAACATTTTTAATGCCTCAACCCTTGGGGTAAATCTGGTGGTTATGTCATCAGAGGAGGTGGGAAAAATAGGAATAGTCATTAATATAATGAGAAAGAATGAGATGAGGAGAGAGACTTGTTCAGACACCCAGTTTCTCCACGCTTCAGGACAGCCTGGGATTTTTGCTTGCCCTCAGGACCCAGTGGATTTGTTTACTAGCTGTTACCCAGGGGGTGTTGATGAAGGGTCATATTTATGAGCCAGAAGGGCAGTGGTAACACGATCTAAACCCTCTTCCCAAGGAGATCATCAGTGATAACCCAAGCCCAAAATTCAGAACAAGACAGAATCCAGGCAGTATTCTACCCTAAAGAATAGGGACTGCTTTCCTCATGGCGATTATTTAGTTCAACCTCTCCGCCGCCCCCCGCACCTCCCCCTTTCCAAGGGCAAGTAAGTGACCATTCATCACTCTCTGTAGAGACTAAATCACTGCAATGGATGGCGCCCCAAGCAGGGTCCAGGAAGACCAGCGTCAGGCACTCTCCAGCCTATTCAAGGGCACACCGACAGGGTGATAACACACACAACTGCTCCAGGCCGGACACCAAAGCCCACAGCTTCAGGGGATCAGGCCACATCCCAGGTGCAAACAACGCGGGCAGCCGCGGCTCCCCTCTTTGGCTTCACTCGCAGCACGGCGGGAGCTCTGGCCGCACATCGGGGGTTATGTAACACCTATCTCTCACGGTCTGCATGTCCAGGGGACTTTCAAAATAATGGTGGAGAGTAACAATTCACGGCGGTACGGTCATCCCACGGAATCCTAGGTGAGAAGACACAGGTAGACAGATGCAAGTGGCTGCGCGTCCCGGTTACCGCACTTTTCCCCATCTCGGAGCGCGCAGATGCATCCGTGAAATCTCAAACCCGGCACGCAGTTCCGCGAAGCCGGGTAGAGAGGACCTCCTCGGGCGGGATCGGCACTCAGCCGAGCGGGGTGGGAGGGCGCTGGGCGCTGGGCGCGGGGCGGGGCGGGGCGGCCGGGGCAGGTGCGGGCCTGGGGCGGCGGCGGCGCGGCGGGTGCGCGGAGGCCCGGGCGGCGGCGGCGACGGCGGCGGCCGGCAGCCCGCCGGCGAGGGGAGTTCCCGCAGCCCGCCCCTGCGCCCGCCCCTCGCCGCCCGCGGCTCCTCCTCGCCGCCGCGCCGCGCCTCGCCTCGCCATGGTGGAGCGCGGAGACGCGGCGCCGCTGCTGCGCTGGGCCGAGGGCCCCGCCGTCTCCCCGCCGCGGGCCCCGGTCCCGCAGGCTGGAGGCCGGGGCTGGGGCGGCGGTGGGGGCGGCTGGGCGGCCGCGGAGCCGCCGAGGAGGCGGGAGCCCGAGGAGCTGCGGCAACCGGGGCGCCTCGAGCTGGGCGACGTGGAGGAGGACCAGGTGGTGGCCGTGTTCGTGGTCACCTTCGATCCCCGCTCGGGTGAGAGCCGCCCCGGAACTGGGGCGAGGGTCGCCCCCCAACCGGGCCTCGGGGACGGCGGGGGAGGGGCTCGCTGCGCGCGCACCCGCACACCTGCACCCCTCTCCCCGCCGGCCGGGGGCCCCTCGGGGAGGGCAGGGGTGCCTCAGCGGGGTGGGGGCGTGGGGCTTTGTTCCCTGCGCCCCCGGGCCCCCTCTCCCGTTCCGTCCCACCGCCTCCCGGCGGGTCCCCAGCTGGCGCCCCAGTCCCCACAGTCCTGTATGCACTTCTCGGGTGATAGAGGATCCTGTTCGTGGCCACGGGCACGCTAGCTTTTGTTTTCTTTTCGGGCTCGGCTAATCGGTTTCTCCCGTGAAGAGGAGGAACGCCCCTCCACCCCTCCAGGTGAATTCCTTCGGAAACAGATCGTCCTAAGCCTCCACGTTCTCTGCTTCCCGCCCTCGCTCCCCATCCCTCTCCGCCTGGTAACTTTGTGAGCGCCCAAGTTCAGTCTCTCTGACGGCATGATTTTGAGGAATTAACGCCTGGAGCATTAAGGGAGGCACGGAGGGATTAAGCTGGAGACGGATTAAAAGAGAAACCTCCTCGGTAGGCTCTTTGCGGGTGTGTTCGGAGAGTTAAAGGGTGATCTCGCCTAATCCTTAGCCTAACCATCCGGTAAGGAAGTGTGCGTTTTACTGGTGAGCGAATTCCTGGGGTTCAAAAGTGAAGGCGTTAACTTGTTCAGTCGCTAATACCTCCCTCGGAGAGCCTCAGGTGGTCGGGGAAGGGCTCTGCCCTTAGGAGTGGAGGGAGGAGAGCTCGTGGGTCTGAAAAGTGTTAGTCGCTCAGTGGTGTAGGACTGTTCGCAACCCCACGGACCTGAGCCTGCCAGGCTCCTCTGTCCATGGAACTGGGGTTAAGAAAACCCAGATGTGCCTTTCTGTTCTCAGTCCACTGAAGTTGCTGGAATGTGGAGTGCCTAATTATGTGGACTGTCAGCTTTTTTCTCGAGTTCCCTAACTGGTCCTCCAAGGATGAGCTGTAGAAACCTTTCTGAAAAACTTGATAGGGTGCGATGGAGTGAAAGGAAAAGGAAAAGGGGTGAGGATCTTGGGATGTCAGAAGATGGGCAGGCCCAGGAAGAAATAGGAACAGCTGTGGGGAGATTAGACCTTTCTGACTCCTGGCGATTCCTTGGCCCCTTCCCTGTGGTTTTCAAACTTTTTTGACTGTGACCCAACATATGAAATTCATTGTACATACCAATCAGTTTGCTCCATACATACATATGTAACTGAAATTAAAGTTTCATCAAATAGAACTAATCCCTTTTACATGTAGTACATACTGTCATTTTCTATTTTTTGTTTTTTAATGCTCATCACATAGGCTGCTTAACTGACATATGGTTGGGACTCCCAGACAGGAAAACTGTTCTTTTTTGACCGAAGTAACCTTTATCGCTAGAGAAAAACATACTATTTTGTAACTCATAATATTCCTTATTCCTGCAGTAAATAGATGTGCGCCTCAGATTCTTTCTGAAAAGCGTTTAAGAGTAACTAGAAGAAATGGAGAGGGAGCATTCACAGGGTCTGACTTAGCAGTGGTCACACTGGTGGTAGAGATGAGAGGGGAAGATGAGGAAAAAAAAGAAATTTCTGGGCTAACCACAGGTGGAGTTAATAATACTGAAAAGCACCTCAGCTTTTCAGTTAGTCACAGCTGGTGAGCATGGTTTTGTGGGTATATGTCTAAGTATTTGTGTGTGCAGACACACGTACATGAGTGTGTATTTGTAATGGCTTTCAGATTAAGATTAGTGTGGAAAGAAGGGATTTAACAGGCATTTGGACACTTGCTTTGTGTAGGCGTTTTACAATAATGGTGTTTCATTTAATTCTCAGCACCATTCTAATTGGATGATCATTTATACCCCATTTATACATGAGCAAACAGAACAAAGATGATTAATTTGGAAATATTAACTAGCTGATAAATAGGTGGCTGTGAGTCTGGTTGTCTTTAAAGTATATGCAACATGACCTGAACATCTGCCCTGGTAACTTTTTGTCTTAACTGTGAGCAAAGAGGGGAAAGGATGGGAAGGAGTTGGGTGGGCAGGAGACAGAGTGTTTTTAATTATGATTGATGGTTTTGGTTTTGTTTTTTTGGAAAGCTGCTGTTTCTTGCCCATAATTCTCTTTCCTCATCTTCCTAGTTCCAAATTGCACTTTACTTTCTTTAAAAAGAAAGAAGAAGAAAATTCTGATAGTATCTGTATTGAGTAAAAATTGTGTGATGAAGCACCTAGAAGTAAAAGATGGGATGAATGAATGCTCCTGGGGTTCCCGGGACCACAAAGGTCAACACTGGGGTGAGGGCCTCAGAGAGCCTGTGGTGTGTCCCTTGTGTGAGGGTTGGGGGAGTCTCGGTCTGAAGAGGTGACGCTTGGGCCCTCGGATGCCCAGGGAGTGGCAGACATCACTGGGGCCAGGCTTCTGTCTCCCAGTTTTAGTTGAGTGTCTCAACCTTTATCCTGCTATGGAGGCAGGTCTGCTCTGTGTTGCTGTTTAGTCTTGGTCCACCAAGACTTTTGCCTTCCTAAACCTATGATACCCAAAGTAGTAAAGTGAATACTGGCTTCTTTACCCAAATCAGAACATATCACAGAAGTTCTTACATAGGAGGAACTGTTGTCTCTATGACTGCCCATCTGCGCCCCATGTCTCCCATTGTGTCCTCAGCGTCCTCCCCTCGGAGCTTCCTCCCTTGTCCCCAGACTTCCCCAGGCGCTTACTGCCCAGGCCGTGGGTATTTCATTCATCTTCCCTCCTGCTGCAGGTAACAACACGTTGGTGCGTGTGCCTGCGAGAGTACAAGAGGGGATGGGCAGGAGAGAATCCACCCCTGTGGGTCATCTGTCAGGGCCTGAGTGGTCTGTGTGCTGAAAGGGAATGAGAGGGAGGAGCGGACCCTGGTTACACGCGCGCGAACACACATACACACACACACTTGGACGGATGAGAGGGAGGAGGGGACTCTGGTTACACACACACACACACTCTTTCTCTCTCTCTCTTGGACAGAGGATGCTCAGTGATTCTCAGACTGCTATATGGGAATAAGAGAGTATATACTTTTGGATACAGGTTTGGGGTTGAGCATCTATAGGAAGAATCAGAGAAGAGGGGAGGGGCATAAAGACTGTTATTTTCATTGGAGCTTTGGTTTGATTACGGTTGTTGGGTCCGTAGATGATGTGAGGACCAGGGCTTCAGGGTCAGGAGAGGTACAGGCCCCCTGTCTCTGACATGCACTCTAGCTGCCTCCTCTCTGTCTCTCTCACACACACTCACTCGCTGACACACTCAGTCTTTATCTGGAGCAGGGAGTCCCTGGGATGGTGGTGGTGCCGGCCATCTGGGCTACAAAGCTGCTATTGAAAGCAGGCCCAGATGCTGACTCTGCGAGCCGGGTGGGAGAGATTGGCAGCCAGAATATTGCTTTTTTATTGTGTCCAACCCATCATTTAGAGCTTTGACTCTGTTCTTTGGGTCTCTAGGAACTAAATTTTCTTCCTCTGCCTAATTAAGGGAAAAGGTAATGTCATGCTTGGAAATCAGCCTCCCCCCCTCCCCAACCCTCTCTATGAAGGTGACGTAGCAGTCTCGCCGTGCAACTGAGGGCTTGTGTATGGGCCTGAGGCAGGTAGAGCTTTGAACCTATGGTGGATGATACCTGTGATTCAGCCTTGCTGGACTGTTTGTTTATAAGAGATCCACTTTCCACAGCTCCATTTTCCGCAGAGTTATTTTGTGGGTGTCTGGGGGAAGTTCGTGTGTGTGTGTGTGTGTGTGTGTGTGTGGATGGCTGAGGGGTAGCACATGTGCCGTGGTTTATAGGATGTCTTTTTCCTTTGTTCTTTCTGATTAGGGATGCATTACCTGTTCTACCTCAACCTCTAGCCAGTGCCTCAGTTACATCTAAAACCGTTATTTAATTTAGTGCATCTAAATGCTTCAAATGACTATAGTATTTAAAATCACTCACATGCACAAGTTTTAACCTCCATACATTCTCCCTACAGTCAACAAAACACAAGCTATTTTCTTTTTAACAACGGCAACACGGAGGCCTAGGGAGACAGGGCCAGGTGTGGCGTCTGAGGTGTAACTTGGAGGGCTGCCCAGGTCATCTGACTCGTGCAAATAATAAATGGCTCCAGCCACTGGTGGGAAAGTGATAGAGGAGAATGACAGTGGAAAATTTGGAGTGTAGTTTTGAAACAGGAAGAGCAGTCCTAAGGATGGCCGGCTCATAGAGGCCAAGAGAAGGCTGGTCCTGATAGCCAAAGCAAGCAAGCCTCTTCTAGTGATGTAATTTGGCCATGGCCTTTCTCTCTACTTTCGATCAGAAGTCAGTGGATTACAACTGGTAGATTTCTTTAGTTCCCGTATTGGCAGACTCTTTCCCAGGCTGTTGGTGATTCACCTACTTGCGGTTTTCAGGGAGAAGTCAGTTGGTGACCATCTGCTGTGACTTCTGTTTCTTCTCTTGAAAGCTGATGGAGACTCGAGTAGGAGGGGAAGTCATAACACCCACCGTTTACCAAGTGCCCACCGTGGACCAGGAATTATCTGATCCCTTCAGCAGCATTCGCAGTCATGAGGCAGACAGAGGCACGGGGCCGTGAGGTCATCTTAAGTCACAGATCAGCGGTGGGGGCAGAGCCCAGAGGCAGACTGGCTCTGCCTGCATCCAGTGTCTGTGATCCTTCCCACATCACACCACACCACTGCCTGGTGCAAAACAATACGGCGTCCATGAAATGGAAAGTTTCTTCCATGTAAAATTAATGCATTGGAATTCAGCCATGGATGGGCATATGGCTGACTTGAAATCACCGGGATTAATTTCTTCCTGCCTCGGGTTTCTTTATCCTGACTCTTTCTTCCTTGGCTCTGATAGAATCTTATCCTAGGTGATGTTACAACAATTCAAAGCTACGTAAGACC